TGCTGGGAGAGTGGGGAAGGAAGGTCATGTGCTGCATATAAAGCAATGACCTCTGCAAAGTCATGGCCTGTGGAGCCATTTCAAAAGATAAGCTGCTTTGTTAGTCTGTCCTCTGTTAGCATCTGTAGCTGCAGCATCACAATTTTCCTGAGAAGATCAATGCCTACCAGCAGTCTCATTAGCTGGGAAACCTTTTAAAATTGATCACCACCTCTAGCAGTATCAGTCTCCGCAGGGTACAGCCCAATCAGTACCTCTCCTGTATGAAGTGCTGCTTCTATTTAATAAGGAAAGACCCTTAAGATTCTCATGTTATTAACATACTCTGACAATAAAGTATGATGCTGCCCACAAGTTCGTTATTCTCATTAAATTCCTGTCACTATTGAAAACAAGAACTTCTCACTGAAATCCCCTTTCAAAGGATGTAACATGAAGTAAGTGAATGCCAAAAGGAGAAAAATCGTCTGCAACCTTGATCTCTGCTGCAGAATACAGTTATTTCCTATCTCAAAAGCCTTGATAGCTTGTGTACAACTGACCCTTGAAAGTCAACTGTATCTGTTATCACAGTTGTGTTTGCGTCTTTTGAGAGTGAGTTCAACATTCATGCAGAGTGCTGTGGAAAAGTCTGCAAGTCTTGCTTTTGGAATCACCAGTTCCTCAGACATCAGTGGACTCAAGCTCTGTTTTGGGGGATGATGTGATAGAGAGCAGCCCTGCAGAAAAAGAACCCAGGGGTACTGTTGAACAAAAAGCTGCACATGAACCAGCAATGCATACTCACAGCCGAGAAGGCAAATTGCGTCCTGGACTGAATAAAAGAAGTGTGGCCAGCAGGTAGAGAGAGGTGATTCTGCCCCTCTGCTCTGCTCTGGTGAGACCTCACCTGCAGTACTGCGTCCATCTGTGGAGCCCTCAGCACAAGAAGGACATGGACCTGCTGGAACAGGTCCAGAGGAGGGCCCCAAAAATGATCAGAGGGCTGGAGCACCTGCCCTACAAGGATAGGCTGCAGGAGTTGGGGTTATTCAGTCTGGAGAACAGTCCAGGGAGACCTTATAGTGGCCTTCCAGTACCTGAAGGGGGCCTACAGGAAAGCTAAGGAGGGACTTTTTACAAGTGCCTGGAGCAACAAGACGCGAGGCAATTGTTTTAAACTAGAGCAGGGCAGGTTTAGATTAGGTATTAGGAAGAAGTTCTTTACTATGAGAGTGGTGAGACAGTGACGCAGGCTTCCCACAGAGGTGGTGGAGACCCCATCCCTGGAGGCATTTGAGGTCAGGCTTGATGGGGCTCTAAGCAACCTGATCTAGTGAAAGATGTCCCTGCTCACTGCAGGGAGGTTTGGACTAGATGACCTCAAAAGGGCCCTTCCAGCCCAATGCATTCTGTGATTCTATAGTTCTATGATTCTGTGATTGTAGGTGGCTAAAACAGACAAAACTCCTAAGGTATCCCCTAAAGTAGCTGTGTATGAAAAACCTGAAAAGCACACAGGAGCAGGCTTTGGGCTGAGGAAGTTGCTGCATGGCAGGATGGTTTGTGTGAAGAGAGGAAAAGCACTTGAGGGATTTAACATAGAATCATAGAATTGTCAGGGTTAGAAGAGACCTTAAAGATAATCTAGTTCCAATCCACCTGCCATGGGCAGGGACATCCCCCACTAGATCAGGTAGCCCAGAGCCCCATCCAGCCTGGCCTTAAAAACTTCCAGGGATAGGGCTTCCAGCACTTCTCTGGGCAACCTCTGCCAGTGTCTCACCAATAATGTGATAGTGTTACTGTGGTTCTGCCTCAGCAGATGCCAGATCTGGAAAACAAGGAGTACATGCGCACTTTTCTACTGGAAACCAGTCACGTAGGAAATTGACTCCTTCCTTCTGATTAATGGTGTCTTCAATGCATTTTACATTATAACCTATGGTGGAGACTGTCAGAGTGCATGAAAAGATAATTAATGCTTACATAGTCCATACTTTGCAATTGCTAATCCTTGGAAGGAAAGGACTAAGTGTCCATCTTTCCAAATGGAAATGAAGAGAAGGATGACTGGCTCTTTTCACATCATCCCTTTTTTTTTAGGACACAAAAGATGTCACTGAAACAGTAATGAGGGATTGCTGCTTCATGACTTGCTTTTCTCTGCGGCTTGCTGAATTCTCTGTGGCTCTATGAATCTCTGCTTGGACTGCAGTGTGTTTCACCAGACGGTTTAACTCAACTCTCTAGTAAGGTGCTTTTATTTAATTTGGATTCGACTTCTCAGAAAATGTAATGTTGGATGTGGTCCACTGCATGTCTAATAGCTATCTATCTATTTATGTAATGAGAAAGGCAGTCTAGCACGTAGACTTCACTTCATCTTTTGCTTTGTTACGTATTCATGCCTCTGTTTTTGTGAAGGTTGTACTCCTGTAAAAATTCCTGGCACTGCTGCACTTGGGTACATGTGTGCACTCAATATATTCTGCTCAGAATTTCGAGCTGGGAACAGAATTTGCCAGAGCACCTCTAAGTGCATATTCCAAACACAATACAGGAGGTTCACCAAAC